GTCTGGGAGGATCGGACTGTCTGCTTCCAGGGTGTGAGGGTCTGAAAGGGGGAATGGGGCAGGATGGGGAGACAGGGCTCAGGAAGGACTGGGAATGGGGCAGAGTCAGAGGAGAGTTTTGGGGGTGAGTGGGACCAGGTGTGGGGGGGAAGGGGGAGGAATTCCGGGGTAGCCCAGGCTGGCAGTGAGCCCACCCTGGCCCTGAAGAAGCGGGGGAGCCCCTAGAGGCCAGGTGACAGGGGAAGGGGCTATTTCAGCAACCAAGGCTGTGCGGAGGGTCCTCTGGGTGGGGGCTGGGAGGTGACCCAAGAGTGGAGGGCCATAGCGTCCCAGGAATGAAGAGATCCCAGGGCCTGGACTGCGACCCCTCAAGAGCCTACTGTTCGTTCTGAGGCCAGGTCCTGGTGTTAGGACTGACACAGGCCTTCAGCCGGCTCCGGGGACTCAGGGCAGGAGAGGCAGCAGCCCTACACTTAGTAGGAGGAAGGACAACCCAAGCCTCTCTCCTGACCAGAGCACAAGCACCCAGGAGCCAACTAGGGTGATTCAGTCTCCACTGGGCTACCTGCTGCCCCGGTGCCTCTGAACGTGGTGGTTCTCCACGCTTCCTCTGGCTGTCCCGAGCAGGGCCGGATGCTTGGCCTGCTTGAAGCCTGTCTGTGGCTGGCGGCCATGCGCTCCCTCAGCCCCAGACAATGAGAGGCAGAGGTCTCACAAGGGGAACCAGGTCCCGGGGTCAGGTGGGGGCTGAGGGGCGCACCGGCCGTCCCTGTCAGACCCTGCAGATCTGGCCAGGAGCAGCCAGCCCCTTCCTGCCACTGCAGGACCCTGTCCTCCAGGCCAGCTGCTGGGCAGAGGGAGGCCCGCCCCTGTGAGGCAGGGTCTGTGCTGGGCCTCGGGAGGCCCACCTGGCCAGAGGCGAGGGACCTGTGATGTGCACACAGCTGGGAGGGATGAGGGCCGGCGGGCACCAGGAGCTGTGCGGGTCTAGGGCTCAACCATGAGCCTGTGAGCCTGTCGGCATGTGGTCTCCTCCAGCAGGTGTGTGTCCCAGGGCAGTCACACCGCCTCCCCTCCTTGTCAGTTCCTACCATGTCCCTGCTCCTTCTCCACTCTTGCCAACTCTGTCCCCCAGGCTTTTACGGGGCCTGGGGGGCAGAGAAGGAGGTAGGGGTCTTGGCTCAGATCCAAGGGGGACAGGGCAGATGGTGGGGTAGCGCACCAGCTCCCATTCACCGCAGGGCTCATGACTGGCCTCTGGGAGCCATGCTCCTCCCCAGCATGACTGTGTGAGCCCTTCCTGGTGCCCGGCCACCCTAGGGCGCCCTGCCTTCTCCGGTCTCTCTCTCAGGTCCCACGTTTCTCTTTTGTATTGGAATTAGTGATGCAATATATATTTTTATATTAAATTTTAAATTTTGAGATGATTGCAAATTTAATGCAGCTGTGACAGAGGTGCCATGCCCCTCGCCAAGGCTCCCCCGGTAGTCGAGTCTTGCAAAACCACCGGATAGTATCACAAGCAGGACAGGGACATCCAAGCCAGAAGCCGGGCAGCTCCACCCGCAGAACCCAGCCCCGGCAGCTCCACCCCCAGAACCCAGCCCCCGCTCCCTTCCACCTCCCCACCTTGACCCCACCTTGACCGGCAGCACTGATCTGTCCTCCGCATCTAGAACCGCGACCATTCGAGAATGTCATGGAGATGGAGGTACCCAGTATGCAACCTTTCGGGATGGACTTTTCTGGCATAATTCTTGGGAGAGTCCTCCTGTTACTGCCAGGATTTCTGAAATTCCTCCCATTTTCTAGCCCTGGGACCTTGGCCAAGGTGCTCAGGCTCTATGCCCCCATCTCTTCCTCTTTTCTCAGGAACGTGAAAGGGCTGTTGCCAGGGCTCTCCACACTGGCCTTAGGGTAGGCCAGGCAGGATGAGGGCCCCCCCAGGAGGAGAGGTGTCCCCTGGAGGTGGTGCTGGATGCCCCATGCCCATCTGGTCCTGATGCGCTGCAAGGGTGGGCTCTGACGGCCGCTTGGACATACCAGTCTGGCTGGGAGACAGGTTAGTAGTCCTGTATCCTAAATTCCCATAAAACCAGTCCAGTGGTCTGACTCCCCATCTCCCAAGAGCCAGAGAGCCTGAGCTCACCCCCGGTCTATAGAGCACACACGTGCAAATGGTGGGGAGCCCTCAGTGGGTGGGAGGTACAGTGCAGGGAGGGTACCCCGACCTGGAGAACGCCCGCCAGATTGGAGGAGGGCAGGCTCTACCCACATGCCCTGGGGCCACGATAAGGCGATGCCTGAGGGTCCCTCTCGGGAGGGGCTCCTGGCCTTCAGCCCCAGCGTGTGGTCTGAATGCTGACATCACAACCACAGCAACGACGCGCCATCAGCCCAGTATCTGGTTGGTTCTGTCTTGAAATTTAATGATTTAGGTCGAACAATATGAAGTTTCCATTTCGGTCACACCTGGCTGCACACTGGCACTTCCTTGTGATTCACCTGAGTGCTAACGCTCAGGGACCCCCTCCTCCGAGGAGACATGCCTAGATTTTTAGATTTTGTTACTAGGAGGTCTTAGACATCGGTGCCCTGCTTTCCCTTGGGTCCACTCTGGAGAAACCTGGAAGCCACAGCAGGACTGTGGTGCTGGGTGGGGGTGTGGAAGTCCAGCCTTCGGCTTGGAGCCTGGCTCTGCCACTGGCATGTGGCCCCAGAAAGCTGTCTGGTCTGTCCAAGCACAGTCTCCTTGTTTGAGAAACGGAGACACGCACATGCCGACTCGTCCCACAGCCCCGAGGTCAGATAAGACGTCCAGGTGAAAATGGCTGGCAGGGTCCCGTTCTGCTCACCCCAGGGTCCTCAAACCTGGACCCTCTCATGAATCCTTGTCTTGGAAACCTATTCACGGAGGACAGTCGAGCCTGCTTTGAGGCAGCTAATCAGAAAGCCCACATTCACCTGACAATCACAGGCCCGGGTTCTACTTTCTAAAGACAGGAACATTGCAACCACAAGACCATCCCTTCTGGCCCGAGATCCAAATTCTGGATATTCTACTTTTAAACAGAAATAACCCAAACCTGCAATGACTGATTGTATCCCCAAAAATGTAAATTAAACTTGAACCCCCCATGTGACAGTATTTGGAGCTGGGGTGAGCTGGGGTCCAGACGGTGGGCCTTCCAGTGGAATTAGTGTCCCTGTAAAAAGGGACACCGGGGAGCCTGCTTTGGCTCTCTCTTGCCATGAGGACGCAGCGAGAAGGTGGCCACCTGTGCCGAAGAAAGCAGGTCCTCACCAGCACTGGGCCCCGAGGGCACTCTGAGCTGCCGGCCTCCAGAACTGTGAGGAAGACATGTCTGCTGCTTAAGCTCGCTTGTCTGCAGGGTTCTCACCGCGGCCCAAGGGCACCAAGGCACCTGCTCTTAAAACCCACGGCCTGAGAACACAAAGGAAAGGCGATGAAAGGGCAAGTCGGAGATTTGCTCCCCGCGTCCTGCATTGTGCCGAAGCAGACTACAGACTCCAGACTCCAGCAGCACCAGCAGGTGACCCAGCACAGGTGCCAGAGTAGGAACGTGCAGCATCACACACCACTGCGCTGACAGAAGGGCTCACGGCTGTCCTGGAGCCTCTTTATTTGACTTTTGTGATGACCACAGCACTCACTTTTCACATTTGATGGGAAAAAAGAAACCCTGATTTTTTGAAGATGTGTGAGTGGATGTGAGGCCATCAGCCAGGAGGCTGCACGTGCTTTCTGTCTCCAAAAGGACGTGCCGGCCGGCAGAGTCTGTTTTCTTAAGACAGAATGTGGGAAACCTCAAGACGCTTCCGAGGGCTCAGATTCTGGGAACTTGGGCCCAGAGTCTAAAACAACAGATGCGAGTGTGAGAAATGCCTGCCCCTGCATGGCCACGAGGAAGCCTTTAAAGGAGTCTTTTCAGAAGCAAACAATGGGACTGACTTTTTGTGTAAACTGGGAAGAGAAACGGAGAGTTTTAGAATTCTTCCACATTTAAACACACAGGCAGTAGCGAGTCCACAACTCCAACTGTAAAAACACACCAATCCACAAAGCCCAAGTTATGACAGAAAAGTCTTCCCTTAAATAACTTAAAAAGTACAAGACCCACACACTCGTACTTAAACTCTATCTACACAAATTTACAGTATTTATACGTCACAGACTAACGCTGAATGACATTTACCGCGAATTTACTCTAAAGCAACGAAGACCAAGATTCCATTGAAGCAGAAGAGCCGGACACACGGTTCAGTCAACGCCACGTGACCAAAGACATCAACATGGAACAGAAACGGTAGCCGGACCCCACAATCTGCAGCGATTCTAAATGCCACTGGGCGCAACACACAGCTCAGCTGGAACATGCAAGGGCCGGAGGGTCAGTTTCCGGCAGCCAAAGCTCTCTGGGCGGGGACTTCCCAGGTGGACGGTCAACACAGGGTGTGGGACGACACAGGATCCCCACCTCAGAACAAGTCCAGATTCTTTCTTTGGGGCCAGTGTCTGCAAGTGCCTGTGGGCTCCAGCCTCTGGCTGCTCTCCTTGCCCTTGGTAGAGGACAGCCAGGGTGGGGGCTGAGGGGGGGAGGGGACTGTGCAAGCCACTCAAAGCCAGCCTTCCCCCCAGTCTAGGCCCATGCGGGCTGAGATCCAGGGGCAGGACCTTTCTGCCTGGACCGTATGTGTTGCCCTGGCAAGACCCAGAACAAGAGTGAGGCTCCATGGTGGCCCCTGGGGTGCACAGGCCTGGGTGCCCACCGGAGCTGGGACCTAGAAGCTGTCCGCTGCTTTTCGCCAAATACACCTGGCCCCCTAGAGGGCTGGGCTTATTCTGGGTGACTAGCCACAACCGGTCAGCTGTGCCCATCTAAGGCCAGTGGGAGGGCCCCCAGTGCCTCTCGCTGCAGCGGCCACCTCCTGAGGCGTGTGTCGGGGCCGCCCTCCAGCGCCGTGTGACGTGTGGTCGGCTGCGGCTGCGGCTCAGGGGATGCCCTCCTTCCTCTGGCAGCACTGCGACGGAGGCGCCGACCAGTCGTAGACGTAGGACAGGCGCAGCTGCACCTCTTGCTTGCACAGGCGGCCCTCCCGTGCCAGCGTCTGGTGCTTCTCCAGCATGTCCTCCAGGCTCTGCTTGTGCGTCACCAGGTACTGGTTGCTGCAGCCGCGGGACTTGTACTCGGTGTCGAAGCGCGGGTCGTGCTCACGCTGGACGTCCACCGGCGCCAGCCAGGCGCCCAGCGACACGTCCTCGCTGTGCCACGCGCGCAGGTACTCCCGGCTGAGGCGCAGGTAGTGCACCAGGTCGGCGGAGAGCACGTAGCCGCCGCCCAGCGCGTAGGGCAGGTAGTAGTCACACAGCTGCCAGGCGGCCTCGCGCCAGCGGCCCCCCGGCTTGACGCGGCCGCGGCCCGAAAAGAAGCCCCAGTAGAGGCGGCGGCGACGCGCGGGGTCGCGCGCCCGCAGCTCTGCCAGCAGCGCGTCCAGCCGCGCGAACGAGTCGTCGTCCGCCTTGAGCACGAACTCGAAGGCCACGTGCTCGTCCAGCCAGGCCAGCATGGCCAGCACCTTGGCCGTGAGGTTCTCGTACGCGTCGCGCAGCGCGGGCAGCAGCAGCAGGTCGCCGTGCCGCGCCTGCTCGCGCTCCAGGGCGCGCCGCTCCTCGGCGCCCAGGCCGCCCGTGCCCACCGCGAAGCGCGCCCACACGTCGCCCGGGCTGCCGCGCCGCGCCGCCGCCAGCCACGTGCCGCGGACCACGCTGCGCCGCTCGGCCGCCCGCGGCGCGCTGGCCACCAGCACGGCCAGGAAGGCGGCGGCGCGCGCGGGCTCGGCGGGCGGGGGGCTGCGGCCGGGAGGCGGGCGGGGGCCGTCGGCGGCGCAGCGGGCCAGGTAGAGCAGCCCGGCGCCGCAGAGCGCCAGGCCGCCTAGGCCCAGCGCCGTCCGGTGCCGCCACGCCCGCCGCAGCAGCTTCATGGCGCGCGCGCGCGCGGGAAGCGCCCCCGAGGCCCCGAAGCCGGCGCGCAGGCCGCGTCTAACGACGGCGGAGGCGGAGGGCGGTGTGCTGCCCGTCACGGGTCCGCTCGTCACGTGGGCGCGCGTGCTCTTCTTATTGGTTGTCCGGGGGGTGGTGGTGTCCGTGCGGCTATTTCCGCCCAGAGGAAAGATGGCGGCGCCAGCGTCGTCGCGGGGGCGTCGCGCCCGCCCGGAGCCGTTCCCGGTCCGCCTTTTCCCGGAAGAAAGATGGCCGCGGCCTAGGAGCGTCCCGTCGGAGGCGTCACGGGCGCTCGGGCCCCGCTCGGCCGATCCTGGGCGAGCGGAGGGAGGCCGGTGAGTGAGGGCCCCGGGTCGGGGGAGCCGGGAGGCCTGCAGAGGCTCCCTCGGGCCGCTGGACCCTGGGCTCATGTCTTCTCTGCCCTCACCGACGGCTGCCACCGGGAAACTGAGGCTGAGGGAGGCCGGTCGGCGGGGCAGTTGGGTGGATCCCGGTATTTACCAGCGAGGGGCCCTCGCTCGCCTTGTCCGCAAGAGGTGATCTAATTGGTAGGACTTGGGGGAGATTTGAAGCCGTGCGTGGAAAGCCCCTGGCTTTCGGTTCGGCCCGTGGCCATTACCGACGCTCTCTGCGCGACTCCTGAGAGCGGCGACAGCGCTTTCAGGCGACGCGTTTGCCTTTCGATCGGCCAGGGTTAGGGTCGCCAGCACGGACCCCACCGGGATGGCCGAGGAATGCCGCCTGCACCAAGCCGGGCCCCTGGGTGGTGCTGCCCCCTCCGCTGACGTCGCTTCTGGAGGACGGAGACTCCCCGGCCAGCCAGCCAGGCCCTGGCCTTTGCCATCCCCGTCCGGGGGGCGAGGGGGAAGGGCAGGCCGAGGGTGAGGAGCTGAGCAGCTGAGGGGCTGCGTTTGTGCGCGCTCAGAGTCTCACTTGACGTCCTGGTATCTGCGCGGGTGTTTTGGGGCTACTTTTGTGCAGAACGTCCTGTCCTAGTCCTGAAGATAAGTAAGGACTTGACTTTGTCTTTTCAGGGAGCAAAGTACAGTGTGTTTGGACATGATACGTGTTTTCACGGCCAGGACCCGCGAGGGCGGTATTAGTGTCAGGGGAGGTCATCTTGGTTTGCGCAGCACTTGCCCAGCCAGGAGAGCTGGGGCGCAGGGGTAGAGTTACACTCCGGCAGGAAAGGAAACCTTGCTGGCCGCAGGCTTGTACAGGTCTTGGCCTGCAGCAGGCTGCATGTCCTCCTGGGCCCACCTTAGGGGCAGTCCCACTGGCATCTCCTTGGCACCTGTGCCCAGCATCTCTATCAGTTTAGTGGCCGCGGAGAGCTGCGTGCTGAGTCTGCGGGACCCTCACCGGCCACCACTTACTGGTTTCTTCCTGGCCCGTTAGATCGAGTTGTCTGGGTCTTGAGACACATCCCCTGAGTTGTTCCCATGGGTCCTGTGTTTTTGTTGTACCTTGTTGCGGAGCACCGACGTTTTCAGAAACACACGTATTGCGGTGTGGCAGAAACCCCTGTACAGGTTCACTGGGTTGTGTGGACAGTGTGACAGCTGCTGGGACGGTGGGGTGGGGTAGCGTGTGGCATTCCAGTACGTGAGATTCAGGGCAGTCCAAGCCCAGAGGACGTCCTGGGGCAGCCAGCAGGCTCCACACAGCTGGAAAGAGGGATGTGCGCTGCCCTCTGAGGATTGCTTTGTCTGAGGAATGAGACAGATGAGTTCGGAGAGCAAAGTCTTGTTGAAAAACCCAGATAGTGGTCAGGTTTGGAGACCAGTGCGTAAAGGTGTCAGCTGGCAGGTGAGTAATGCTGTGTAGGTTCAAGAGGAAGCACCAGATAAGCAGGGGGTGGCATCCAGCCCGCTGGAGCCCCTGGTCCAGTGCTGTGTGCCCTCAGGCCGGGTGTGGTGGCAGTGCTGCTGGCTAGCACTGCCCTCTGCTCTGCCCGCTGTGTGGCCCTGTGCTTCCTTCCATGCCCCAGCTTGGTAGCAGGCGGCACTCTGGCCTGTGGCGAGCGTGTCCACAGCCACCACCTTTGGACCCTGGGTGCTGGTGGGCTTCCCTTTGCTGCTCCTCTCTGTGAAGACGGCCAGAGGAGGGGAGGGCCTCAGCTGCACCTGAGAGGACCGCCGGTGTTTGCCAGGCAGACAGACTATGAGAGGAACAGGTCATGGAAAGGGCGAGAAGGAGCTAGAGTTCCTTTTGGGAAGTGTGGAGTGTGAAGGTCCATGAGAAGCCAAGTAGGGACCTGGGGGGGCATCTGGGCCCTGTTCTGGCGCCAGCCAGAAGGGAATTCCAGGCCATTCCAGAAGGGAATCTGGAGGAAACTGGAAGGTGTGAGGGAAAACATGTGGGCATGTGTGGAAGGAGCCAGATGTGGGAGAAGGCAGGGATGGCCGAGTGCTGGGCACGAGTGCATGTGGCCTTGGGATCCGTACCGTGGTAGAGTGGACAGAAGGGTGGCATGGTTTCCTTGTTGCTGGGCCCAGGCGTACCAAGGATGACAGACTTCCTGGTACTCCTGTGTGAACGTGTGCAAGGCGGTGTGTGTATGTGCATATTTATGGGTATGTGGCTCTACACATGTAGGTGTGTGTGTCTGCGCACACGTGTATGTGTGCATGTATATCCATGCGCACATGTGCATACGAGTGTGCGTGTGTGTACTTGCTGAGTGTGTGTGTGTGTGCACGTGTGCACCTGCAGAGGTCATTGAGAAGGAAAGGTAGGAAAGGGCTGGTGCCCTGCTGGGTGGGTTTGGGCATTTGCTGGTGCCAGGCCCAGTCGTCACAAAGCCTTGGGGTGGTGCGGCTTCCTGTGTCAGGGTGGAAACAGGCAGGGAGGCCAGGTGACTTAGCCAAGGTCACAGAGCTCATAAATGCTGAGTTGGATTTGGAGAGTGAGTTACCATGACTCTGGAGCCCGTCCCGATGCCAGGGGGGATGGAGAGAGACTGTTCTGGGAACGCCCACTGTGGGCATTGGAAGGGGGTAGGGTTAGTGGTGCTGGGCAGCCCCTGAGGTGGGCATCTTTGGAAAAGGAAACAGTGTGTCCAGTATGTATCTTGTAAACCAAGAACTTCCATCTCATGTTGTGAAGTAGACGGCTCTCTAGAGAAGTACTGGCTGGCGTGCCATCTTGACAGTGGCCGTGTCTTCTTTACAGACCTGCGATTGCTTGCTGGAGACTTCTGCAGTGCCTGGGGTGGTGGGGAGGCTGTGACCCGAGGTCTCACTTCCTCACCTGCCCCACCCTTCTCTCCCCAGCTCCTGGCCACACTTGCAGCCCGTCCTGCATCCCAGACCCAGGGCGGCCATGGCGTGCAGGCAGGTCCCCCTCAGCGGCCTGGCTCCTCACTGCCTCTGGCTCTTGGGGGTCATCCTTCTGATGGATGTGTCTGCCCGGCCTGCCAACCACTCATCTGCTCGGGAGAGAGCTGGCAGCAAGGATGAGCGTGAGCTCCTGCCCCCAGACCACCTGAACGGGGTGAAGCTGGAGATGGACGGGCACCTCAACAAGGACTTCCATCAGGAGGTCTTCCTGGGGAAGGACACAGATGGGTTTGAGGAGGATGCGGAGCCGCGGAGGAGCAGGAGAAAGCTGATGGTCCTCTTCTCCAAGTAGGTGCCCAGGCCTGGGGGGCCGCTAGAGTCTAGCTGGCGTGTGCCAGGACCAAAGCTCACGCAGGCCTGTGCTGGGCCTGGGCAGGGTCCGCAGGTCTCGGGGGCCCATGCCTTGGGAGCCTGTCTGCCCAGCACAGGCCTGGTGGGGTCCAGGCTCCCAGGGTATCGGTGGCACCGCAGCCCAGTCATGTGCCAGGACCCAGGGATTCATGGTTCTCGGTTCCAGGAAGGAGACTGACAGGAGCTCCTGAGCTCCTGGCGGACGGTGTGTAGAAGCCAGAATTTGGGCACTGGTGTCCCTGCCAGTGGGCCTCCCGGTGGGCGGGGCTGGATGACGGGTGTGCACCTGATTGTGTGTGTATGCAGGTGTGTTAGGTCAGGCACATATGTGCTAGTCTGCACACTTGTGTGTGAGCCACTGCATCCGTGGGCACTGCTAATTCACGTGTGCACACACTTACATCTACATTTGCTTCTCCACCGAGCCGTCGGAGCCCGTGTACGAAACGTGACTGTGCTCTGGTGTCCCAGCTCTGGTCCCGTTCCAAGTGTCTGGGCGTGCCGGTGTGGGCTGACGGGGCCGCCTATTGTGAGCAAGGGCGAGGGCCGAGTGTGTCCTCCCCCTTGGCCCCCAGACTGGGGAAGTGGTGCTGGGCTGCCCTGCACAGCAAACGGCCTTCCCAGCCATCCCCGCTGTCTGCTGACAGCTCTGGCGTCACCTTTGGGCAGAGTGTGTCCCTGTTCGTGACGGTGGAGCCCCGCTGGCCACCCTTTGGTCCGTCCGTCTGTCTGTCCTGTCCCGGGTTCTAGAGACCTCGTCTGACATCACGCCCCTGCCTGCAGGGTGGACGTGAACACGGACCGGAGGATCAGTGCCAAGGAGATGCAGCGCTGGATCATGGAGAAGACGGCGGAGCACTTCCAGGAGGCCGTTGAGGAGAGCAAGGTGCACTTCCACGCTGTGGACCCCGATGGCGACGGTACTGCCCGCCTCACCCTCACCCGGGGGCGGGAGGCTGCCCGCAGGAGGGGGCGGTGTGCGCAGAGGGTAGAGGAAGTGAGGGCCTGGGCGGTGGGGCTGGGCGGGGGGCCTGGGCTGGGGGCGGTGCCTGGGTGGGGGCCACTCCTGCCTTGCTGTACTTGCCCTGGGGCTGGCTTATTGGCAGGGTCTGAACAGTGACCTCGCTGTTCCTAAAACCATGGTTGTGGAACAGCCTAGCAGCTTGGCCTTCCCTTCCAGGCCACGTGTCGTGGGACGAGTACAAAGTGAAGTTTCTGGTGAGCAAAGGCCACAGCGAGCAGGAAGTTGCGGAGAAGATGAGGAACGGGGAGGAGCTGAAAGTCGACGAGGAGAGTGAGCGCCAGGCGTGGCGTGCGGCGGGGGGCTGTGGTCGGCCTCCCCGTGGGCCAGAGCTGCGGGGGAGGCTGGTCTGTGGGCGAGGACAGGGTCCTGGGGAGCTGCATCTGCGCGAGGGGTGTGGAGGTGGCAGGGCCGGCCAGCAGCCGGGCAGAGCTCTGCCCTCCCCAAGGCCTCCCGCGGGGCACCAGGGAAACTCTTGGCACGTGTGCGGGTGCCAGCGCGCTGCGGGGGCGGCTCGCTTCTGGAGTGTGTCTGGATGCCGCCTGGGCCCCTACCCAGGTGGGTGGCAGGTTTGGTGTGCTGCCTGTCGTGTCCTGTCCTTCCTCTGAGTGCTGGGTCACCATCCCCACCTTGTCCCGTCGGGTCTTCTCTGGGAGCTTGTGGGCGCGTGGGAGTTTCTCTGTGGCATCTTTGCCCCCCGGGATGCAGTAGGGAGCAGGTCCCGCGTCAGCGAGGCCAGCGTTCTGGTGCTGGGAGGAGAGGTCCTCCTGTGCTTCAGGACAGCAGCTGCTGTGGCCCCGGGGCTGCAGGTGTCCCTGCTGCTGGGCCTTCAGGTGGACAGTGGGCACTCCTGTCTGTGTCGGCCTGGTGTTTTGTGGCCCGGACCCCTCTGTCCCCCGTAGGTTATAGTCATACTTTCTTTCTGTCTGTGTTTTCTGCTTGTCCTTAATTCTGATTCCCTGCCTGCCTTTCTGGCACGCAGGGAAGTGACTGGCCACTCTAACCTTCCGGCCTGCGGTCTCCAGATGATTCCGATTTCCTACGCAGGCGATTGTGATGTCTGTGAACACGGACTGTCTGGTTCTTCCTTCCCAACTGTCCGCCTCTGACTTCCTTTTCTTATCTTGCGTTGGCTGGGACTCCAGTACGGTGCTGGGAAGCAGTGGGGAGGGGGACATCTTTTTCTTGTCTGATCTTAGAGGAAGAGCGCCCGCTTTCTTACCATTAAGCTGGTATGAGCTGTAGGTTTTTTGTAGGTGTTCTTTGTCCCACGCAGGACATTCTCCTCTATTCCCGGTTTGCTCAGAGTTTGAATCACGAATGCCTATTGGATTTTACGTCATGCTTTTTCTGCGCCCGTTGATAGGATCGTGTGATTTTTCTTCTGCCTGTTGGGATGCTCATGTTAACTGATTTTCAGATGTTGAACCACCTGTGCACCTGGGAGGAGTCCCACCTGGTCACGGTCTGGGATTCTTCTTACGTGTTTTTGGGTCTCATTCGGGGATCTTCTGTGGGGCACGTTTGCACGAGACGCCCTGGTTTGTAGGACCCTTTTCTTGCAGCGTCTTACAGTGTGTGCGGCGGTAGCCTTCCACCTGTCCCCCTGGGGGCCGCCCGTCACAGGCACCTCGTCCCTGTCTTACACCTTTGTTGCTCGTGCTCAGTCTGTTTGTGGCGCACGTGCGGCCAGCGGCACCAGACCCCTGTCCTGAGCAGCACGGATGCCGTCGGGCGCTGCCTGGCCTTCCCCCGTTCTCCGGGACACCATCCAGGATTTCACTTCTGTCCTTTTGAAAGCCTGTGCCTTGAATGTGATTATTATTTTTTTTTTTTTCTGAAATGGTTGTTTGCCTTTCTCGTATCTTTCTCCGTTTTGCATTTCCGTGATCTGTCCTGTCGTCCCAGCTGTCCCCTGAAGGCGGTACTTGAAAGCATCGGGGGGGTTCTGGGAGGCCTCTGTCCTCCTGCCAGTGTGGGGCATCTGGCAGCAGCCTCTGGGGTGGCTGCTGGGCGTGGGCTGCTGGTGCTCTGTCCCTGGCTGCTCTCAGGAGCTTGTCTGTCTTCAGCACCTTTCCTTCGGGTGTGCCTGGGGTCAGGACCCGTCCTTTGGGGCATGAACTCTCTTGCCTCAGCCTGCCTGTTGACTCCTTCATCTCACTCGTGTTCAAGGCTCCTCATTCCTTCTTCTGTAAGGATGGGGCGAGCAGGACTGGGCATTGGAAGTGAAGAGCAGTGTTGAGGGTCTGGGAGGCCCCGGGAGCGCAGGCGGGCACTGAGAGGCTGTGTGCCTCCCTGGGGCTCATGGGGCTGCTGTCCCCAGGCACCGCAGACGGGCTCACAGGGCTTGGTGGCAGCCTCCCTCCAGCTGCTGGAGCCGCCCGCGTCCCTGCTTGTGTGTCCTCTTCATGGACATCTGCTGCTGGTCTCAGCACCCACTTAAGTCTCCAGTGAGCTCAGGTCGAGGTCCTCGAGCTGCTGGAGCCACATGGACCTTCCTCTGTCAGGAGCCACGGACAGACACAGAGTCTGGGCCTGTCCCCATGCGTGGTGGGCAGGAGCGCCGCTTGCTGCCGCCATCCGCTAGGTGGGTTTGCCATTAAAAGTAGGTCACCACGGGATCTCCTGTGCATCAGAAGGCACTGAGACTCGAGGCGGCGGGTACTGTGTGGGAGGCAGCTGTGTCCCTGTTGCGATGTGCCAAGGCCTGGGCGCCCCTGTTCCTGGAGGCTGCGGTGAGGGCGTGGACAGATCTCCGTGCCTCGGCTCTTCCTGCTCCGTGGGCCTCCGCCGCTCCACCCTGTTGAAGCCCTGGACGGTCAGGGAGCCTGTGAGGCTGTGGGGGCAAGCTCTGGGCCCCACTCCCCATGCCAGGTCTTCCCAGGAAGGGAGAGTGGGGGCTGCGCCAGAGTCTGTGGGGATGCTTCAGTCATATCTGGAAGCCGGGTTTTCCTCCAGGGCCCTGCCCTCTGTGTGCGGCGCGTGCAAGAGGTGGAAGGAAAGAGGGTGCTTGTTCCTGTCGGGGCAGGGCGAGTCCACCCCTCCCGGAGCAAACGGCAGCAGTGAGCCGAGGCTGGGGCTGCACGGGGCCGGGGACTGGGTGTCTGTGCCTGTGTGTGTCCAGGTGGGGGAGGAGGCCGTGTCTTAGGGGGTCGGCCCCTGTACGTGGGAGGGTCTGGGTCTGGCGGTCTCTGCACCGTCTGCCTCCCTGAGGAGGCCTGAGGGCTGAGCTCTCTGTCGAGCGCCAAGGCCCTTGGCCTCACTCACCAGTGTCCTAAGCCAGCCTTCCCAGGCAGCACGTCTCAGAACTTCTCAGGTGCGTGCGGATGTCCTGGGTCCTCATGGGGATGCCTCTCTCAGCACAGGAAGTGCTGGAGAACCTCAAGGACCGCTGGTATCAGGCGGACAGCCCCCCCTCAGACCTGCTTCTGACCGAGGACGAGTTCCTGTCATTCCTGCACCCTGAGCACAGCCGTGGCATGCTCAAGTTCATGGTCAAGGAGATTGTCCGGGACCTGGGTGAGGCCTGGCCTGTGACCCTGCCTCGGGGGGAGGGGGGGGCTCCCTGCTGGTGGCTGGGCTGGAGGGCGGAGCCCATTGTGCCCCTGCAGCAGTGCTTCTGGCAGGGGTCGGCCTGGGGGTCTTGGAGGCTGTGGGGCCACACAGTGGTGGGGGGCGGTCAGGCCTTGTCCTGGGCCATCTGGCTTTGGCCAGGCTCTCGAGCAGGTCAGGTGAGACGCACCTAAAACAGCTTTAGGCTAAAATTTAACACACTGAAAATTGGGCAGGTAACCTCTTTTGGTTGACTTTCTTCTGGGTGGGCCCAGGTGGCCCCACATCCAGGTGAAGTCTGAGTGTTCACTCCCCTGTGCTGTAGACCAGGACGGCGACAAGCAGCTCTCACTGCCTGAGTTCATCTCTCTGCCCGTCGGCACAGTGGAGAACCAGCAGGGCCAGGACATCGATGACAGTTGGGTCAGAGACCGAAAAAAAGAGTTTGAGGAACTGATCGACGCCAACCATGATGGGATCGTGACCATGGCTGAGCTGGAGGTGAGTGCAGGTGCCTGGGGGGCACCGCCCTCCCCCCACCCTGAGTTTGGGGCCCAGATCCCCAGGCTTCCAGGTGTGCCTTAGGCAAGGGGCTGTGGTGGAAAGGACGGCAGTGTTGGCCCGGCTGCTCGTTGTAACACTTTGTGGCACCTGGAGGTGGGCTCCCCACGCGCAGGGGAGGTGGAGTCCCTGGGCAGCGTGGTCACCTGTGGTGCTTGGGCCAGTGAGGTGCTGGCCTGCCCCCAGCCAGGGATGCCTCGGCCTCTTCTGGCTCCAAGCAGCCGCTCCCCAGTGGGCAGCTGGTGAGATGCTGGGGTGCCGGGGGTGCAGGCCGCTCTGGAATCCATCTTCCCCCGAAGTGTTTCTGTCGGTGCCGCGTGGGTGCTGTGTGGGCTTGTTTTCCCCGTCGCTGCATGACTCACTGTCTTTGCGCCAGAATTCTCTGATCCCTCTTGATAGCCGGCGCACACACCTGCTTCGAGCATTGAGCGGCGGCTCATTGAGTCCGTGTTCATGCCTGTATCCGGGCATCGCGTGACCCACGGGCAGGCTCCCGCAGCCACTCAAGGCTGTTTGCCCTCCGGCCGGTCCCCTCCGGGAAGGAAGCATCAGGAGTGCCCTGAGGAGGACGGGAGGCGGCGAGTCTCAGGCGCCACACAGGCAAAGGCTGTCTGGCCCTGAGCCACTTCCAGCCTGGTGTCTGCCTTCCAGAACATTCCAGAACATGCCACATCCCCTCCTTGCTGCTTCTGTACTCTTAGCCCATGGGGTGTTTTAAATAAGGCGTTGCTTTCTGAGGCTGGGGACAGGGTCAGAGCCATGCAGATACTTCCCTGAGGCCAGAGGCGCTGACCTCGCTGACAGGGCATCCATGGGGGGCAGGGGCGTCTGCCTGGCGGTGTGGGGGGTGTCTCACGGCCTCGTCACCAAGTGTGGACTTCTGGCGCCATGGTGGAGCTGAGGCTCGAGGTCGATGGCCCTAGTGCTGCTGGGGAGCGGGCGCGCTGGGGAGGGCCATGGTGGCCAGGGGTTCGCGCTGACCCCGTGCCCGGAACCACCACAGGACTACATGGACCCCATGAACGAGTACAACGCCCTTAACGAGGCCAAGCAGATGATCGCCATCGCCGACGAGAACCAGAACCAGCACCTGGAGCCCGAGGAGGTCCTCAAATACAGCGAGTTTTTCACGGGCAGCAAGCTGATGGACTACGCCCGCAACGTGCACGAGGAGTTCTGAGCCCACGCACCCCCCCGCCACCCCCCCGGGCCGGCCGCCGCCGCCGGCGGTCCGGCCCTGCCCCAGGTGTGCGTGAGTGGCCAGCCTGGGCCGGTGCAGCTGTGGGCCGGTGCCCCCCGCGCGGGCGTCTCACTTCCAGGCACCGGGCGCGTCGGGGCCCTGCGGGCTCACCACGCTGCGGGGAGCAGCGCGGCCCCTGCCCCTTCCTCGCTGGCGTTGCGTTGGCGTGTGCTCTGCGGGGGACCCGAGCCGGCGGCGGGGGTTCCTGCCACGACGTTCCGTCTCCGAAAACACAAACACTTGTGACGAGAATCTCACTAATGTACGTTAAGATAGAGCTGCCTTTTCCTCCCAGCTTCATTTCCTTGTTGAAAAAAAAGCTCATAAAATGATGTTGGAACGTTTGTGGCCAGGTGGCTTCCACTCAGTGCTTTTGAGGTGGGTGATCCGGTGCGAACAGAGGGTTTGGTCAGGCTCCTGCCAGGCTGCTGGGTGGGGCTGCACGTGAGGGTCGCGCTTAGCGGCAGGGAGGCCCTCGGGGGCGCGGGAGCCAAGGGTCTGGAGCGTGGCGCTGAGGTGAGACCCCTGGGAGGTGCTGGCTGGAGAGGGAAGATCTGAGGACCGGCCCTTAGGGCAGGGGCTGGGGGGAGAGCCCCCTCCGCACTCCAGCCGGGCTGGCTGTGGGGGAACAGATCAGAGGCGGCCAGGGGACCTGGAGTCTCACCCAGCCTGTGGTCAGGGGCTGGGAGGGCCTGAGAGCCTGGGGACAGGACGGGGCTCTTGGGGGAGGTCCCACCAGACCTGTATTTGTCCCAGGCCCTTTCTGGAGGTCAGCCGTGCCCATTGCTTGTCCAGCATGTGGGGACAGAGGACACTGAGCTGTGAGGGGTTTAACAGACCGAGGGTCCCTGACCTCACGTGCCTCCGAGCTGCCGCCTCCAGTCCCTGCCCCTGCCCCCTCCGTGCTGGGCATCCCCTCAGGAGCCCTGAGCTGTGGGCTGCGGCGCCTCAGTGGGTCCGCTCAGGCCTTGGAGGGCCCTGCTCAGGTGGGGGCTCCAGCCCGGTGGGCAGAGGAGCCACCTTGAGCTGCCCTCATGACCCGCCCTTGCCACAGGGATCCGCTTCCGAGCAGCGTGGGGTGGGGCCGCTGTAGCGGAAGGAGGGCGCAGCGACACCTGCACCGGGTTCCCCGCAGACGGGAAAGACTTCAGAAGGGCTGGGAGTGTGTGGTGGGAGGGGGTCCCCACCGCGGCCGGGCCCCCATGGGTGAGTTGGCAGGGGCGTCGGCGACGTGGTTGTCTGCTTGGCGGGTCAGCGTGAACAGGGGCCTGGTTCGTGGGCTGGGTGGGCAGGGCCCCGGGCAGCGGGGACCCGTACTGCCAGAGGGCAGGCAGCGCCCACGTGGCCCCCAGAGAAGGAGAGGGGCACACTGGTGGGGGCGCTGCCCACCGGACGCCCAAGTGAGCTCAACCTCAGGAGCTACAGTGCGTCAATTAGAAGAAAAAAAGACTTTTGTCCCCACCTGTGGAAGACGGGGGTGCGCACGCACACACACCAGGCTGCCTGACGCCCCGATCCCCTCCCCGGTGGCCCCTGGCTGCTGGCAGAGCCTGCCTCTCCCTCCGCCCCCTGTTGTGGGCGGTGGCCTCGTCCGTGGCAGCCTTGCCCGGCTCGGCCGGGGAGGAATTTCCCACAGGTGGGCCGGGGCGCTCAGCTTCCTTACCTGTCGTCGGGGAGTCAGGGAGGGGAATTTCCAACTTCTCCCCTGCTCTCCTCCCCGAGAGGGGCCCTCTGTCCGAAACTTTGTGAATTAACTGGTTGATTTCATCTCAAGGTTATGGTTTGAAGGGCACAGAAAAACGACCCAGGGTAGCCTCCCCTGCCTCCAGGGCACCCAGTGATGTCCGAGCCATGCTCGAGTGTTCTTTCCGCTCTCCACACCACGGCCCTGCAGACGACCCTCCCCGCCCGCCCTGGAACCACCTGGGGCTGTGTCCGAGGGTGCCAGGTGCTCCGGGGGCTGTCCGGTGGCTCATCCTGGTCTCCACTGTCACATTGGTGCTGTGGGGACACCCTAGGCCCGGCGTGGGTGTGGGATGGGCTGGGTTGGCCTGGCCACCAGGGAGGACACAGAGCCAGACTGGGCAGAGGGCACCCCCCCACAGGAGCAGCCTCACACGTGCCACACGCACACGTGCGCACAGGTTCACACGTGCTCCTGGCATACTTCGTACCCAGGGTGCAGAGCAGGTGCTGTCCTAACAGAACACCAGGGACGACTGTCTCCCTGTCCTGGGCCGGACTTCTGAGAGCAAGTGTGGGCAGGGCTGCCCTCGTCCGTTGTCCTCACGCAGTCTCCTTCTCTCAGAAGGAAGCCAGCCCTTTGGGAGCAGGACTCCTCCGACCCCCGCCACCCTATCTAAACTTGACCAGCAGCGCAGAGGCCCCACCTCCAAAACAGCCACATGGGAGGTCAGGGTTTCAACGCGTGAATCTGGGGACACCTGCTGCGCTCAGACACGCTGAGCAGCACAGCCCTCCTTCGCACTCGTGTGCTTGCCACGTCTGCCTACACCCCTGCCGTTCTCCACACACTCGCACCCCCCCCCCCCCCGAGCTCATGACCACTGCCTCCGTCTGAGCTGGTTTTGGACGCCTGGACCAGGGACTGTGCTCTCGAGTTTGGGGCTGCTCTTCCCTTGAGCCAGTGCCCCGTGGAGGGTCCAGATGGTGTGAGGCCTGTCTCCTGACACAGGGTGCTGCCTCAGTTTACCCATGTGCTCTGTGCACCCGTTTGCTGAAGGGGTGAGGATTGCCATGAGTGTAGCCTTTTGTCGGGGGGGGGGGTTGCAGGAGCAGACACCTGCTCCTGAGGGGTCCAACCTGCCCTCCACAGGGAGAGCGGGCGCCCAGAGGGAGCGAGCTTGTGGAGGGGTCGGCTGGCCAGAGCAGGAGGCTACCCATGTGCCCAGCCGAAGGGGCGCCATGTCCCTGGTGAGGTGGGGCGAGGGGGCGTCCGGTGTGGACGGTGGATGCGGACTAGATGTGCTGGCCCCGCCGAGGGTCCAGCGGCTGCAGGTCCTCACTTTGGCCCCAGGTCTGAGCCGGGTCAGCACCCCGCTGCCCACTGGCTGAGGCTGAGGTTAGTGGGCGTATTAGAGGCGAGGAGGGCGCAGGGCAGGAGAGAAGCCCGCAGCCTGGAGGGTTGCTGCTCGGACTAGCTGCCTTCTTGCCACCAGCCCAGGTCAGGGGTCCCCAGCCCTTCCTGGGCCTCCTTCCTCCGGGTCCCCTCCTCCTCTCTCCCTCCCCACCCCTCCCCCGCAGCCCTTATAGCCACATCCTGCAAGGAAAAACCCCAGACTCCTGCGCCGCCGGCAATGAATCCTCATCTCCTCGTGCAGGCTCGGCGGCCCCGCGGGCCCCCCTCAGCCCTCCTGCTCTTCGGGCTTGTGCTGGGAGCCGCGGCCCGGCTCACCTGCATGGGGGACGCCTACCCCAGAGACGGCAGGTGCTGTCAGGACTGCCCGCCCGGTGAGTGGCCTGGCCACCGAGCTGGGGAGGGGGCCTCTGGGGCCCCGGGACAGGAGGGTGGGGTCCTAGGGATGGGACCCACACGGGGATGGGGGCTGGGGAGAGGGGAACAAGCAGATGGGGTCCCGGGACACGGGGGTCACGGGCTAGCGGACTCAGGCCGACAGAGTGGGTGACCGGCAACCAGGCCCGGGGCCGTGGGCCTCCAGGACTGAGGCTGGGGATGCGGAGCCACGCTGAGTCTGGCCTGCCTCCCGCGGCAGGCTATGGGATGGAGAGACGCTGCAGCGGAGGACAGGACACCGAGTGCCACCCTTGTCTGTCCGGCTTCTACAATGAGGCTACGAACTATGAGCCCTGCAAACCCTGTACCCAGTGCAATCAGAGTGAGCGTCACCCTGACCGGATCCCAGACCCCTGAGCGAGTCCCTTGCGCCCCGCCTGGGCGCTCCCAGGAGGTCCCCATAGCCGCAGAGACAAACCCCAAACCACAGTGGGGCCTGCTGTACCACGGGGGGCCCCCTAGGAGCCCCTCCCTCCTCCCGGGGAGGGGTGGGCTGAGGCCACGAGGAATCGGGCAGGAGCACATGCCTGCCGGCTGGCCTTTGCAAGCAACAAGAGCGGGATCCAAGCGCCACCGAGGGTCCTGCTGTGGGCCTGACGGAGGGTGGGAAGGGAGGCTGGAGCCACCCTGGGCGTGCCTCCCAAGGGCCACGTGGCCGGAAGGAATGTGGCATCCAGGGACTGGAGAGAACCCGGAGCCCCGCGCGGCTGCGAGGGGGCTGCTGGTCCGGGAGCCCTCGGCCTCCGTCCTCCAGCCTGTGCAGCAGCCCGCGGCTCTGCCGACCCTGCCCGCCTCCCCTACCCCCCCCCCCAGGAAGTGGGAGTGAACCCAAGCAGAGATGCACACCTACGCAGGACACGGTCTGCGGCTGTAAGCCAGGCACCGAGCCCCAGGACGGCTTCAAGCGTGGCGTTGGTGAGCCCGGGGGTGGCGGCGGGCAGCGTGTGCTCAAGAGGGCAGGGTCTGCGCGCCTGCGGGGTCCTTGGGGCTGGCAAGGAAGTGTGTCTGCCACATCACCTGCTGTCACTTCCACTGTACCCCACCCCCACAGGTCAGAACAAGTTCCTTTCCCCCAACAAACAGGCCAGGCCGAGAAAGGCGGGGGGCCCGGGTTAGGGCCCGTGGGTGGAATGTGGGCCAGGAGGCGGTTCTGGAGGCTGTGGTGGGGGAGCGCCCAGCCCTACAGGACTAGCCCCCAGCAGCAGCCGCGTCCAGGTCCCTGAGGCGGCGGTGAGGAGACCGTCCTGCTGTCTTTGTTGCAGACTGTGCCCCGTGCCCACCGGGACACTTCTCCCCAGGGGACGACCAGGCCTGCAAGCCCTGGACCAAGTGAGTGGCCTGGGAGGCTCCTGGCCCCTGTCCCCTCATGACCCCTGGCCCCACCATGCTGCCCGCCGCCTCAGCCCTGGTCCAGCCTGGCTGCTGGGTTGGGGTGAGGAGTGTATGACTCTGTCCCAGGCCCTGGGAGACCATGAGAGCCCGCCTCATCCACAGCTGGGGCCTCCACGGTAGGGGTGGGAGGAGAGCAGTGTGGGCAGCAGAGCGAAGGGAAGTGGGGAATGAGGGTGTGGGGCAGGGGTCCCTGGGGGTTGTGGGGCTTCGGCAGGGTCCTTGGCCTGTCCCCTGGCTAGGAGTGGGATGCTGCCAGACAGGCCCCGGGGGGATCTGATGCCCATTGCTCCCCACACGTCCCTGGTCCTGCCTCAGTTCTGGGTCCTTCTGGGAGGAGTTGGCTGGGGGTTGGAGGCTCTGGCCTGAACAGTACCCCCTGCCTTTGTCAGCTGTACCCTGAAAGGAAAGCGTACGGTGCGGCCAGCCAGTCAAAGCTCAGATGCTGTCTGTGAGGACAGGAGCCCCCCGGCCACGCTGCCATGGGAGACCCAGGGCCCCCCAGCCCGGCCCCCCACCACCCAGCCCACCACAGCCTGGGCCAGGGCCTCCCAGGAGCCCTTCACGCCCCCTACAGAGCCCCCCAGGGGTAAGGGGGGGGCCTGGCCTCCCCCCAGCAGGGCAAGGAGAAGGGGGGTAGGGAGAGAGGGCGGGGGTGGGGGTGCCCTCTGCCCTCCTAGAGGCCCTCTGGGGCTGGACCCTTTGCTCCAGTGGACCCCACCCCAGCAGGCCTTGCCTCCCCGCAGGCCCCCAGCTGGCCGCTGTCCTGGGCCTGGGCCTGGGCCTCCTCGCTCCCGTGGCGGCTGCGCTGGCGCTACTTCTGCACCACAGAGCCTGGCGGCTGCCCCCCAGTGAGTACCCCGTGTGACCCCGGCCCCAAAGGCCTCTCACACATGGGGGGCCGTGACCCTCCCCCACCTCCTGCCTCTGCTCCTTCCCCTCCCCAGGTGGAAATAGCTTCCGGACCCCTATCCAGGAGGAGCACTCCGACGCCAACTCCGCCCTGGCCAAGATCTGAGCCAAGACTGGAGCAGCTAGTGCTCCCATCCCCCGCTGGGGGCCCTGAGGGCCTGCTAGACATGGAGGGGCTTTGGGGTGCCCCCGCGCGCAGGCCACCCTGTCCCATAACCCCCCCACCCCGCGCCGTTTTAGGTGCTCCTGGCCTGCGCCCAGGGCTCTGCTACGTATGCCGTGCATACTCCCCGCCCAGGGTGGTCCCCCCAATAAATGACATTGGTGAACCTGGGTCTCCGACTGGCTGCTAGCGGGCTGAGTGCCACACAGCCATGGTGGGAGTGCAGGGGCCAGACCCACTCTGGCGGGGGAGGCCTCTCCAGCCTCGGCAGGGGTATGGGACCCCCTCAGAGACCCCGGCACCCCTGTCCTCACCCCTTCTCTGAGCATGTCCCGGCTCCAGACGGGGGGCGTGCAGGCCACATACATGTCCTAGGGGACCGAATGACCCCGCAGCTTGTCGGTGGCATCCAGGAGCCGCTTCTCCAAGCCCTGCCTCTGGGTGAACAGGCCCTAGGCTCCCCCAGTGAGCCCACAGCTCCAGCACTAATGGGAGCAGGTAGGAGACTGGAGGCCCTGGCCCCAAAGGGGATGTTTGAGGACAACCCTTCAGGTCTCTGTGTGTCCTTGCAGAGCAGAGAGCTCAAGAGCCATTCTTTCTCGAGACCTCTCGAATCCCATGCCTGCCAGACCTGCGTGTGTGTCGTGGGTAGTGAGTGGGGAAGCTTTGGGAAAGTGGAGATTTCCAATCAAGCTGAGCCGCATTTGGCCCTGGGGGCGAATGCTGAAAAACCCCGATGCCCATCGACAGTAGAGTCCCACGGACATTGTCCGTGACTATGGTGCCCCTCCTGTTGGGTTGCCAGGCCAGACGGTGAGCGTCCTTCGCAGCTGCTGGCTGACCTGAAGCCAAAGGCACTGCGGCCAGCGCAAGACTCTGGCCCTGATGTTGGCCGATCCCTGGCCAACAGCCCTCCTTGTTTCCTGGGCCATCTTTCTCCCCAGGGTCACCCCAGAGGCCCGTCCAATGTGTCTTCAAACCTCTGAGCCCTCTGCCCTGGGGCCTGGACGCTGCCAAGGGAGGACAGAGAGCCGTCCCATGTTCAGCCCCACTGAGTTCCCCGTGTTCGGGGTGGGACTCAGCAGTGGACAAAACAACGTGAGCCGCGCCCTCAACGCAGCCGGCAAACCCGCACCCTTGATCTGGGGACAGTGGTCACCAGGATAGTGTGGAGGCTGCAGAGAAGTGCTAGGGGACCTGGTAGAGGGGGCAGGGTCGGGGCAGGGGAGGGGGCAGATCCTGCACCCGAGGCCTCCTCCCCACACCTCCCAGCTCTTCCCTCAGCCAGGACACCCTCCCCTCACCTGGCCACTGCACACCTGCCATGGGCAGAGAGATGGCCAGACTCATCGTCTCTTTGCTTCTACACCAGCCCTAAGCACACTCTCCAGCCCCTCACCCCCGCCTGTCTGCTGAAAACCCTCACACTGTCTCCGCCCCAGGCCCCGCGTGACCCCAGGCCTGGGCCTCGAGCTGTGGCCCTGCCCAGTGTCCGCTGTCCCCCTCCACGCCCCCGCCCCGTCCCCACCCGGCCCTGCTGCCGGATCCGCTTCTCCACGCACCACCCGCCTCTGGTTACTGCCTGGCCTCCGTGAGGGGCCGACCGCTGACAGGAACATGGTGACTCGTGTGAGCGGGAAGACCTGATAACGCAGAAATGTGGGGAGCGGCCCGGGGCCCTGGAAAACACAGCAGATAAAGATCGCCGCTCCCCTGGCTGCCCAGCTCTAGAGGCTCTCCTTGTCCCCGTAGCCTGTGGCTGGGTTGGGGGGGGGGCTTCCGGAGGGGCTGGGACAAGAAAGCAGACGCAGGCACTGACACTGGGCTGACGTCACTCCTGCCTTTCGAGGGGCCTTGCTCAGAAGCCGCTATCTCTGTGGGCATTGAACGTGGGCTGTTTGCTTTCTGTGCAGCTGTGGGCGGCAGCCACGGAGGAATCTTCCTCTCCCGCCCGCCCACGGGCCCTTCCCGTGGACTTTTTCTGCACGGAGCTCCTCCCGCCCAGCTCACCTTCACTCCTCCCCACTGTTTCCAGAAGCTTCTAACTCTGTCCCTGCTTCCAGAAGGACCAGCTGACACACAGCACAGCCTGACAAGCATCATTTGTAGGGTATCGATCATGTTTTCCTGGGCCACAGTATATCACGAACTTACCAGAATTGGGGTGACCCTTTACTGCCCCAGACCTGACCCCTCAGGTCTTTGAAGTGAGCAGCGGATGAAGGTCTAAAACTGCGGGTTCTGTGCGTGGATTCCCGCTCTGTCCCCACGCTCAGACCCATCTCCTGGAGTGGGAGACCTCAGGGCTCCGTGGAGCCTCGGGCAGCCTGGAGCTACAGCCCACCCGAGAGCCCCCTCCCTTCCCTGCACCACCAGGTTTGCCCCTCTGCGGAGGGGCCGTGCATCCTGGGACTTGGGAGAGCTGAGTCACCCATGGCTAATTCCTGTCAATTCCCTCAGGAAAGGAACAGCTGCCCATCAGGCCAGGTGGCAGCTGTAGGCCTCAAAGACCAGTACCTCCAGCCCAGAGCCGTAAGCACTCTCCCACTCCTGAGACCCAGGCCCCAGGGAGGCGTACCAGAGGAGGCAGGGCCCCAGAAGCCCTTTGTGCCGCACGGGGAAGCTGAGGCTGCGGGAGATGGACAGTCTCATGGTGAGTTGGAGGCACAGAAAATTGGGTCAGGGGCTGGCCCTCCACTGCCCCGGGATGACCAGATTCGTCCGGAGAGGTCTGGGTGGGAACCAGCCCAGCAGTCTGTGCTGGGACCTGAGCAGACCCCCTGGAAGTTTAGTCAATGCCTGGACCTCTCCTTACTAGCGACCTGTCCCGAGATCCGAGGAGGTCCTTGGGTTGGGAGGTAAGAGGTGGCTCCTGAGAGCTCTAAGCTGGAGTGTGTGTGTGTGTGTGTGTGTGTGTGTGAGACCTGGAGCCTGGTCAGACCTTGTTGGCTAAGTGAGGGGGTGTGTCCTGATCCTCAGAAAGTAAGGGGGGCATTGTCCCCATCCCTGGAAAATGGGGGGCCTCTTGGTGTGGGGGTAGGACCATGATGCTCTGGGGTCTGTAGGGTTCGCAGAGGACGAGGAGTTAGAGATCTTTAAAAGCCCTTGGGGCTCTCCTGAGGAAGTTGGGGCAGGGGTAGGGGACACAGCCAGACACCGAGGGGGCACAGCGAGGGAAGCGTCCCCAGCCAGACTGTCCTCCCGGGGGTCCCTGTACCAGCACACCGTGGGCACTACCCACCGCAGGGTGCCGTCTGCACTTAGCACGCGCAGTGCCCACCCTTCCTGTAGGCGTCCCTCCCTTCACACCCGATGGGCTGCAAGTTTAGAACAGAAAACATTTCTGACCTGCTCCCTTCCAGTCCAGCCCTGTGTCGCGGGGGGTGCAAGCTATGTTCAGTGTCCCCCTCCCCCCCCCACACACATTTGCGGGCATATTCAGTTTCTGGGTAGGAATTCCTGGACCAGAGGGCAGGGACACTTAGGAACCCCCAGGTTACCCCCTGCGCCGGCCACACACGAGTCTCCTGGAGGCCCCCCACCCCCTGTGGTTGTGCTCTGCAGCGCGAAGAGACCAGCCCGGCTCCGCTGACTTAAAAAACTATTTTTCTACTGAGAGCAGCTCTGGGTTCACATCCAGCGTGAGGGGCAGCCGCCCAGATTTCCCGCGTGCCCCTGCCCCCACCGTCCCCCTCCCCGGGGGCCCTTTGTTCCCGCGGCCGCGCGGCTCCGACGGGCTCCAGGGGCCGGGTCTGCTGAGGGTCCCACACGGCTGTGCCTTCTGCGGTTTGGACAAAGCTCCAGCCACACGTCACCGCTGCGGTCACACGGAGCCGGCGCTGCCGACCCCCGGTGCTCCGCCCGCCCGTTGAATCGGGGGGGTTGCCGGGGGTCACGGGGGTCGGATGGGAACCTTTTCTCCCCCCTCCCGGCATCTGGGCCTGCGGGGCGGGGTCTGGGCGTGCCCGGATGGGGGCGTGGCGGGGCCCATCCCCTAAAGTCTCCCGGCACCGTCCCGCCATGGGTGCCATGGAGGCGAGGGGCGCGCGCGCGGCCCTGTGCGGCGTCACGCTGCTCTGCGCCCTGGGCCTGGGCCAGCGCCCCGCCGGGGGTCTGAGATGCGGCCCCGAGCGCCTTCTGCGTGGAACCGGGACGGACGCGCGCTGCTGTCGCCGGTGCGCCCCGGGTAAGGCGCGCGGGGAGCCTGTCTCGGAGCGCAGCAGCGCCGCGCCCTCTCCCTGTGCTCAGACCCGGCCTCCACGGCGTGGCGGGCAGATCTTCTGGGTCCGGAGCCCACGGACCCTGGGCAATGGGTGAGGGGCGTGTAGCAGAGGGGAGCTCAGCTCGGGCCAGGGGCCATGTGGGGAGTCAGGGGTTAGGGGGTGAGAGCCTTCCCCAAGGAGAGTCTTGGGTCCCAAGGCGGAGGAAAGCTGTCCCAGCTCTCACTGAGCGGCTAGGGAGCCCTTGACCTTCCCTCAGGCCAGCACAAGTTCTGCCCCACCCCTGCCTCGGACCTGCCTCTATGGGTGAGGGGCAAGGGGCATGTGCCCGCCTGGGGACAAATACTGCAGGGAAAACAGCCCAGAGTGTCACCCTGCTGGAGCCTGGGGGTTGAGAAGGGGGTCTCTGAGGGTCCCAGTCTCAGTGCGGCAGGCGGGGACAGGCAGGAGGAAAGGGGGAGAGGGAGTAGATCCCCCAGGCGGGCCCCTTGTCCTGCAGGGACATGTTCTGGTCACATGCCAAGTCACAACCACCCTGGGTGGGAGCAGCTTCAAGGCAGTGGGGGACTCAGCCAGGCTGCATGGGTGCCTGTGGGGGAGGGAGACAGCGGGAACCCACCCGGGTGCTGACTCCCAGGCAGGAGCCCTTTGACCTCTGGGGCTGCCTAAGGGTGGAGGTGTGGATGGCCCATTCTCTCTGGGGGGCCCTGGTGGGGTGGTGGGGAAGTCCTGAGGAGGGAGGGGCTTGGCCCAGCTGCTGAGAGGGCTGGCTTTTCTCTGGCTCAGCAGAGCCCTGCCCTAAGGTGGACTGCACGTGTGTGGAGCCGGGGTTCCACTGCGGGGACCCCCAGTGCACCAGCTGCAAGCATCACACCTGCCCGCCGGGCCAGGAGGCGCGGCCCCATGGTGAGTCCGCGGCAGCTGTGGCCTGAGCGGGTTGGGGGTCTGACCAGGGCCCAGCCGGAGCTCAGGGCAGTGGGTGTGTGGCGAGCGCCACGAGGGTGTGGAAGGAAGTGCCTGTGTGTGGCGGGTACGTGCGTGGCCTCTGGGCAGGCAGGCTCCAGCAGCTCTGTGGCTAAGCCAGGTGGGTGCGGCCGTTGGCTGCCTGTCGCCCGGACCCAGACAGGGGTCCTGGCACCCCCGCGGCTGCGGCGAGTCCTTCCTGTTCTTCGCAGGCTTCCGGTGCAGCTCCAGGGCATTCCTCAGGGCTGGTTGGGGGAGTCCTGGGGGTGTCCAGGGGATGCCTAGCCCAGGCCTCCCTGTACCCTGTATGTCTGTGTGGGGACATGCCTGCCCCTTCTTGCCTTGTCTGGGGGGCAACCTTTTCCTGGAAGAAGCAGCTCGAATTCTCCTGGGGCCTGTTTACCTGCTGGGAGGGGCATGGTGAAGCCTGAGGGCCCTCGTGAGGTAGGGTGGGGCACAAGCCTCACCTTCTCTCTCCAGGACCCTCACTGGCCTCTTGCCCTCCCGGCTACTGGACCAAGTGTAAGGCCTGGCCCGATTCTGGCCTGGTTTCTCCTTCTGCCCCTTCTGGGGTCCCTTACCGTCCAGCCTCCAGTGGACAGGCCCCTGCACTCCCCTCCTCTCCCAGATCCCCCAGGGACCTCCACCAACTCGGGGTCACAGCCTTGGGGTCCCCCAAATCTGCCTCACCCACAGATGGTTGCCCTGGAATGGGGCACACTTGAGCCCTGATTTTGGCCAGGCCTCAGTCTCGCAGGCGTCAGAGACCTGTTGGACCCAGGCCCCAGAGGGGCCCCAGAGGGGCCCTGTCTCACCTACCCCAGCAAACCCCAGCTGTCTGTCTGTCTCCAGGGAATTTCGATTTCGGCTTTGAGTGTGTCGACTGTGCCACAGGGACCTTCTCTGGAGGCCAGGAGGGTCGCTGCAGGCCCTGGTCAGAGTGAGTGCTAGTGGGACCTTCAGGTGGCTGGCCAGTTCCTGAGGGAGGGGCCTCTCCTGTCCTTCCTGGTGACCCACCTCCCACTTGGAGGACAGCAGCCATGTGGAAGTCCCGCTCGGGTGGGCGAGGCTGGGCGAGGGCTGACCGAGGGCTCTTCTGTGTGTCCCAGCTGTTCCCAGTTTGGGTACCCCCCCATGTTTCCCGGGAACAAGACACACAATGCCGTATGTAGCCCGGGGCTGCCGCCCGCTGAGACGCGTGACCCGCTGACCGTCATCCTCCTCTCCGTGACCGCCTGCGTCCTGGTCCTGAGTGCGGCCCAGCTGGGCTTGCACGTCTGGCAGCTGAGACGGCAGCGCGTATGGCCCCCAGGTCTGTTGTGCCCCTGGGGTGGGAGAGGTGGGTGCCTGGCCTGCCCGCTGACCGCAGCCGCTCTGCAGAGACCCAGCTGCTCCTGGAGGCACCGCCGCCCGCCGAGGACGCCTGCAGCTGCCAGCTCCCTGAGGAGGAACGGGGAGAGCAGCTGTCTGAGGACAAGGGCCTGAGGCACCTGTGGGTGTGAGGCCTGGCTGTCCTCTGCTCCAGCAGACCCAGAGCCAGACCCTCCTAGGACACGTCCCAGGGCTGGCCCATGGGAACAAGGGCTCTACACTCCACCGTGGGGCCCCAGCTCTGGGCCCGGCCCTGCTCCCCTCGATGGTGGAAGTGGGTGGGGGATGGTGACAGTGACCAGTCCCCCAGACCATGCAGAAGAGGCAGCAGCTGTGGCCAGACCCCATGGGGCATACAGCCGCAGCTGTGGCTGCTTCCCTCCCTTGCTGGCCCTGTTGGGGTTGTGGTGTCTGTGGGCCCCTGGCTTCCAGGACAGGAGGCTGGGCCCAGTGCAGGACTTGGCTGCAGGCAGTGCTCAATAAACACTTGTCCAGCGACTTGAGTGGCCATGTTCTGGGGTGGGAGCGCAGGGAGACGAGGCCCCTACCAGTACTCCCACGCCCACCCACCGTCAGCTCCTTCCAGCCAAGGCGGGCTGGGGGTGGGGCAGAAGTCAGGGCCATTCTAGTCCTGGCCCAAGCGCTTAGCAGGGACCCTGGAAAGCTTCCTGGAGGAAGGGCAACATGATGGACACGTGTCCTGTGTGCCTTTTTTTTTTTTTTTTTTTTAAGAATTTATTTATTTATTTATTTGACAGGCAGAGATCACAAGTAGGCAGAGAGGCAGGCAGAGAGAGAGAGGGGGAAGCAGGCTTTCCGAGGAGCAGAGAGCCCGATGCGGGGCTCGATCCCAGGAACCTGGGATCATGACCTGAGCCGAAGGCAGAGGCCTTAACCCACTGAGCCACCCAGGCGCCCCCTGTGTGCCTTTTCGCTGCCCTGTCCAAACCCCCTTCCCTGGCAGTCTGCTTGGCGCTCTGGGACAGTTGGATTCTGTGCTCTGTGCTGGTCACACAGTCTTCTGGCTCCTGGGAGGTGCCTGTCCTTGTGTCATTCTGGCCCCAAGTCCAGGGCGAGGCCGGTTTCTACAGGCAACTCTTCCTGGTCAGGAGGGCAGCCTCTGAGGTCCCTGCCTTTGGCCCCCACCCTCTAGGCCAGACCTGCTGCTCGCCCCCACCACCTCCCAAATCGCTCTCCCTTGGGGCATGGTTCTAGGCTCCCGCCCATCACAGGTGAGCAGTGTCCGTCCAGCCTCCGGGCGGAGCTGGCACCTGCAGTTTGATAAGGGCTTCTTGGCACTGCTGTCCAGGGTGTGGAAGGCCGGTGGAGGCTGGTCTTGACAGCAGGCCTGTCAGGTCCCAGAGCTGCAGCTCCCCCACGCCCCCCTTCCTGCCTGCCTGCCTGCCTCCCAGGAGGGCCCCTTGACTCACTGGCCCTCACCCCCACTCAGTCCCGTTGGGCCGCAAGGAGGCAGTGGAGAGAGCTGCGTGTGTCATGCCCAGGGGCGTGACCCCCACCCCCTCCCCACCTCAGCGCAGTGTGGCCTCTCCACCCCTGGAAGGAGGGGTGCTGACGGTGCCTTCCTGAATTTACTCACTTGGGAAACATCCTCTCCGTGCCTGCTGGATCCCAGGCTCCCGGCATGCCCACAGAGCCCATGTTCCAGGTGAGGGTCCAGGCGAATTAGCTAATAAATGAGAAAAACGCAGGTCGACTGGCTGGGTCTCAGGGGACCGTGGGAGACACCATGCTGTGTTCCCCGGAGCCCCCAGCAGACTGCTCTGGGACCTGCTGGTCATGCCCCTGGCCCCTCTTCTGTCTCCAGGCTAGGTCTCCGGCCTGCCAACCCCTTGTCCCCCCTGCTTCGGGGGGCCAGCTCTCCTCTGGGCTTCTCTTGTCACCTGGGTCACTTGACGGTCCGTCCCCCCCGCCACGGGTGGGGCACATGGATGCTCAGGACTTCCTGGACCCTCCACAGGGGCTGCCTCAGGCTGCCCCAGGGCAAAGGGCTCCCCAGCCCTGGCTCGGCGGTCCCGGTGGTGGGGGCTGGGTGGGGGTGGGGGCTGGTGCGGGGAGAGTCGGGTCATCTGCAGTCATAGATCTTCCTAAGAAAACACTCCGGCCTGCACACACCCAGGTCCTGTGGGACCTCTCTGTCGGCTGACTCAGCGTGGAAACTCCCCATGGGGGGGGTCCCGTGTGGGGCGACAGCACCCCACCGTCAGCACAGGGGCGGCACCGGGCAGGGTGGGAGATTCCAAGGCCCAGGTGGAGAATGGGGCCGAGGCTGGACTCAGTCAGTGGCAAAAGATGTGGGGGAGGGAGACCTGGCTGGGCGGAGTGGGCAGGAGGGCTCAGGGGAACCCTTGCAGAGGCTGGATAGGTCCCCTACTCTTTACCCCCCAACTGCCCCTCCCAGAGACGCCCCCTCTCCTTCAACCCAGCTCCATCTGCCCACCCTGTTCCTGCCCTCCTTGGAGCCCCCAGAACCCCATGATTTGCAAGCTTGTGTTGGCCCCGAGGGCCCCCCAGCTCCATGGACATGGAACAGGGAGGGAGTGCATGGAGAGACTTGGTCTCTATGATTTATAGATCAATAGATTAAATATTAAAACCCCCCACATCGGGTTCTCTGCTCAGCGGGGAGCCTGCTTCCCTCCTCTCTCTGTCTGCCTCTCTGCCTACTTGTGATCTCTGTCAAATAAATAAAATCTTAAAAAAAAAAAAAAAAGAGAGAGCGTCTGTGTGGGGCCCCGGGGGCTCAGGGGCTGGAGAGTCAGGTGGAGACCCCAGGGCCAGGGCGGGCAGAGGCTGCCACTGGGGGTTTTTGGTAGGTGAGGCCTGAGCAAGTCTATCCAGGCTCTGGGGGATGGAACTGTGGGTGAGCGATGGGGGGGAGCAGTGCCTGGGACAGTGGGGGAAGGGTGGGGGACTAGCGCTGAGGTAAGGGCTGCTGAGAGGCTCCTGTCCCCCTCCTACTCAGCCCAGCTTCCTGGAGTGGGGGCAGGTAGGTGCCCGGGCAGACCACCTGTCCTCCTGGGTCACTGATCCCAAGAGGGACCCCACCATAAGACTCTGCCCAGGCCAGCTCCTGGCCCCGCTCTGCTTCTCCTGAAAACCCCCACCGCCCAGGACCCACTCTCCAGCTGTTCCGGAAAACCACAGCTCCTCCCCCGGGGGTAGCAGTCCACGGTGTGTTCAACCTCAGATAAGGGCCTGAAGGCCGCCTTTGGTTCCCAGAAGAGCTTCCGGCCACGGCAGCTCCCACGCAGTCCCCAACCCTCACCTTGGTGGGAAAGGCTCCTGCCTCTCCCTTTACTAAGATCTGGACTCAGGCCATGTGGGACCCCCTCAGCAGGACAGAGGGTGGGGACAATGCGAGTTACAACTGCGACAGTCCTGGGGCAGCATCGGGGAGCCGTCCAGAGGCGGGTGGTCCCCGGCTAACCACCAGGCGCTGGGATGTGCACCCATTGGTAAAACATGTCAATGATGCCAGGCCTGGGCACGCAAGGGCTTTGACCAGGATGCGGGGCCATCACTCTTAGGCCCCCACCTCGTGGTTTCCAGAACATTCTGGAGCGAGCCACTCTTCCTCCAGTGGGGCTGAGCTCGGAGGTCTGAGAGGGACTGGCTCCTGGAGGTGCTAGGCCTGTGTTCCAGTAGGAGGCTGCACTGGGGCGGGCAGACAGCAGCCACGGCCTCCGCCCCCACCTGGCTCAGGGTTCCAGGAAGCTTTGGGAGCTGAGGTGCTTTCCAGAGATGCAGATTCAGGCCCGGGGTGCTCCAGACCCCTTTCTCAGACACACATTCTCTGCAGGAGACAGGCTTCGGGGGTGTTGTGGGGGGGATGTCCTCAGAGACCTTGGGACTCTGTGGGATCTTTGGCGGAAACAGCCCCACAGCTGCTGGGAGGTGGTCAGCTGACCCCGTGGTGTGTCTGCTAGGGGCTGAAGGAAGCCCCAGTGGGCGCCAGGGGTAGGGCCCGCGCTGGGCGGTCCTCTGGGTGGAGGATGCAGGGATGGTGGGGGTCATCTGAATGCTGGGATCTACTGCGCACCTCCAGACGCTCCTCCACAGCACCCCAAACTCCATCTCTGGCCTTCCTTTCCCCGGCGGTCCTTCTGGCTTTGGCTAGCGAGGGCCCTTTGGGGCCATGAGCGAGGTGGAGCTGGGAGGTCCAGACAGGGGGCAGGGGGGTGGCCATCCCCTCTGGGGCTTTGGATGAACAGCAGTGGTTCTTGGGAAACTTCGTTTATTGACATTTGGGCTCTCAAGGGGGTGCCAGGGACCCCAGAGCAGCAGACAGGCCTTTGAGGGAGCCCTAGGAGGGCCGGGCAGGCCATCCCACCACCGGACACTCCTCCCCACACTGCACCCACCCAGCAGGGAGAGCGAGCCTGTCACTGGGGCATCAGGCCGCTCTGTGAGCGCCAGCCACGTTGATGCTCTGGGGACGGCACCATTGGGCCACATCAGGAGCCATGACTGTGTGTGGGGCAGTGGCCCATGGGGCTTGCAGGGCTGATGGCATGTCAGGAAGGGGTGAGTGAGGCATGTGAGCTGGGACATGGGGCACAGAGGCCCCAGGGGGTGTGTCAGGAAATGAGGAGTGGCCTGGATGCCAGCAGAGAATGTAGCCTGGACCCCAAAGGTGCAGGTGTGCATTTCACAAGGGCCTGGGTGCCCTTGGCTTGCCCAGGAGGTCCCTGCACCCCCACCCCATGGAGGCTGGTCCTCTTCCCTCCCTGGCTTTCAGAGCACAGAGCCAACAGACCCAGCTGCACAGCGGCCCATGGCTGAACTCGGCCAGTCCCAAGGATTGACCACAAGACATGCTGGGAGGGAGCTTAGGGTTCCTGGACCCCAGGCCCATGGTGATGTGTGCTTCTTGACTTTGGTCTGGGGACCCCATATCCTAGGGTGCAACAAAGTGCATTGGTGTGGCAGGGGTCCGGCAGGTGGTCTGGGAGTGAGGGGAGAGGCCAGTCCCTGCTCCAGGCCTGCCTTCAGGACTTTCCTCTGCTGGGGTGGGGGAGGGGGGGAGCAGGCTCTGATACATGGTGGTGCACAGTGCCCCCTAGTGGTGCCCCCCAGCAGTGGCTGAACCGCAGACCCCTGCGGACCCCAGGTCCCACCAGCTGTCCAGGCAGAACAGAGAGCCGGTTCCAGCAGC